TGAGCCAGTGAGCTTTGAAACGCCTGCTTGACTGTCCAAAGACCAAGATCCATCAACTCCTACTCAGCCCCAAGCCGCCAAATCGTCGCGCACGGCACAGACTGTGCGGCCCGAGACTTGGAGGACTCCACCCTGAGTGCGGGTGGTGCGCAGAGAGGCGGAGATCTGTCGACGTTGAGAATGGAAGTTATTTGAACACATCCCCAGACACTCCATGGGACTGCCCACAAAAAGATGCCCCATTGGCGTGGTGGGGGGGTCTTTCTGGGGCGGCAGTCCTATTCCAGTCCCATGGAGTTATTTGAACACATCTGTACATTCCCTGAGGGGAGAATGGTTCCGCACAACATTGTACAAGAGAATGGTGTCGATCTGCCAAAATACACCCTCCACATGGCTTGGAGCCGGGGTTCACCGGCCATAAACCGGCCCCAGCCGAGGGGCGCCGCTTTGCAGGGCCGCCTGCGGTTTGTTTGGCTTGGAGGAGTCTCATCCAACACACCAAACGCATCCAGGTCAACCTGGTTCACTGAGGTGTCCACCCTCTATCTTCATGTATATCCGACCAGGCTCTGGAAGTCGGTCAGACTATCGAATGGTCCTGACTTATTCGGTGACACGAGTCGAACGGAATATGCTTTACTTCAGTGGGGCAACATATAGTCGAACTGGACTTCTAGGGTTATATAAATATATCTTCATTTTGGGGTTGAACGCGGATGATCACAGTTCACATCATTCCATCTTGCTTATCCCTTTGGGGGGCTGCAAAGAGGACATTGTCATGAACATGGCTGATGCATGGTTGGTGTCAATCTTCTGCATCCATTCTGCATACGTTCGGGGCGAAAAATGGTTTGGAGAACCCCATTTTATGTGCCGAACGTCTTGGAAGTTCGCCTCACCAGCTACGTAGCACGTGTCATGACTGTCATGGCTGTCTTTGAAGTGTCATTTTCGAACCCCTCATACTTGTAACTTGTAACTCGCGTGGTATTCAGAACAAAAAATCTACACCGACGCTCCAAACAGCCCTTGTCATGGGTGCACAGCCCTTAAGGTGCACAGCCCTGCCACCAGAGGTAGTTGAGGTAGTGGCTATTGCTCAGTGGTGGCTGGGTGGGCCGAGCAAACGTCGGCTTCGTTCGACCCGTTCGACCCGTCCGGATTCGGGAACCGATCCCGGAGGAGGTCGATGGCTGTTGATGAGGGACCGATGAGGGACCGACCTCTCTTTAAGAACAACTGCCAGTCGCCCGGCTGTTGGCACTGTCTTGGTGAAAAAAATCATCCCAAACATCACGCGACGACGACGACGACGACGACGACGACGTGTGGTTGAACGGCGATGTGTCGGGACCAGGTCGCACGGTTGATTCGAAGCTTCTGGCCAAACCCTCGGGCGCGCTTGCGCCATTCCGAAGCTTCCGGGCTGACGGCTTTCGGGGGGTGGGCGCTCTTTCAGCAGCGCCAGCGCACCATGGGTCCGAAGCGGAGTGCGATGAGGGCTCCTCGACTCGCGGAGTGCGGCTCACCTCCAGCCAAGCACTATCAGCTCGCTCCAAAGGCTCCTCGTGCGATGCCCAAAAAAACGGGTCCAACGCGTCAACGAAAAGACCCGGCTCGACGCGACGTCCGCGACCCGAGCGCGACCTCCTCATCCTCTGGAGGGATCGGTCCGCGGACGAGTCAGGGGGACGGGGTCTGATCGGTTTGGTTCGGGACCAGGCTGTGAAGGGAGCGTTTGGGTACATGCAAAGAATGTTGGAACATGTTGGAACCAAATGCCTTTGAAAGAGGCAGGCAAAAAGAAGCGTCCACCAGGTGTTCACCTAAGTGTCGCGTCCCTGCAGTTACCACAGATTTGCTCCATTGCATGGACACGTGTTCAACATACGTGCGCGTGGTTAATGAGCAAAACTGGATACCAAAAAGAACACCCTTCCTTTCACGATGACCCTAAACTCCGAGCTGCAACTACTCCTACTCTGAACCGGATCATCCCGGGCACCTGAAAGCTCAAGATGGAGAAGTCCTGCCAAAGCAAGTTTCAAGAAAACATCCGAATACATGATTCGTTGGGGAGCAGACTGATGGCTCGAAGAGGATCTCGCACATGCGAGATGTGACTGATATCAGGGAGGAATGCAAAGCCTAAGGAAAATCTCATGTCATAGTAGATGTTGCCTTTTATGCGGGGTATTGTGTTGTGTCGTGGTTACTGTAGATGTTGGTCAATGATCAACCACTCATCAAGAAACCATGTACTCATCCCCCTCATCCCCCTCATCCGCATCTACACTGGCGCCCGTTGTACAACCGCAGCAACTATTCATCCGATAACACCACCAACGGACCGGACCGACCGATCCACCCACAGCGGATCCTTCTGCTGGTCTCTCCAACACAACCACCGCGCGCGCGGGGTTCGTGAGGGCCGCCGGCTCCGCCGGGCGGGTCTTCGGAGCCATGTCCTCGTTGAGCACTTGGATCTCCACCGCCTCGCCACGCAGCCACGAGCCGCGTCTGTCTGACTGTCTGCCGCCGGGGGGGAGTAAAGGTGTTCGGTGGCGCGGAATGCGCGTGTTCTTTCCAAGGTGCAGAACAGAAAGCATGCTGTCATCCTCCATCCAGCTGCGAACAGAAGTGAAGAACTTGGAAAAGGACAATGCATTTACAAAAGAAGGGCATGTCCAAACTCTACCTAGCGCTTCCAAGAATTGCCCAATGGAGACCTGTAAGTAGTGTGGAGATATCCATCGGTGACCCCTTGGAAGCAGCTGGTAGGATGCGTGTTTTCTTTCTTCCCGGGTAAACATGGTTCTTCCACATGGTTCAGCTCGTTTGGCCCAGTATGTCAAGTAGCATACAAACTGTACAAACGGTACAACGCCATGAATTATAGTATACATGATGTGGATGTGGGGTGTTGCTCCTCATGCGCGTGTATCGACCTGTGGAAAAAACAAACAGTGGATAGCTGCACGGAATGCATCCAAAATCCTACAGCAACACTGCAACAGTAGCTCAGAGCTGCAGGAATCCAATGTTCCAAAGCCGTAGGAAGACGTCTCTCCGTGGACAATGGGCAACATGGGTTCAAAAGACAAATCCTCAAATTCTCCCTGGCTCCGCTCCTAGATCGGAGAACCACGAAATCCTGTCACTGAAATCCTCACTTGCTTCATCAATCCAACCACCTGAGGCAGGGTGAACTCTCCCAACCAACCAACCAACCAACCGTGGCAAACCCAAATCTACAGCAACCATCAGTGACACCCAAATCTACAGCAACCACGAGTTCAACCCGAAGACGTCAAGCCTCACCTCCTCCGGTTCTTCAAACCGTTCCTCCAAGCCCGCCATGACGGTAACGGGGGCCAACCCATCTCCGCTGAGTGATGTGCGTTGGGTCAACCGGACTCATCAGGTGAAGCTGTGAGGGGGGGGTGTCTTTCAAGAGGGAGTCGACCCCCTACCAATCCCTAGGGGCCCATCTCCTTAGGTTCGGTGGGCACAAACCCCCCAGAACTTACCCCAACCACCGAACCGAAATGGAGGTAGTGGGAGCGCTAGGGAATATGGGGTTTTGGACCAATTCCATCCATTTCCCTTCCTCCAGGGTGTCTCTTTCAGATCTTTCACTAGGGAGTCGACCCCCAAATCGGCCCTGGCTGGGTTTCGGGTTACTGTAAGGGATGCTCATCCAGGGTTTCGAGGGGCGATGGTCATCCGCCTCTGGCACGAGAGGTGCAGGTATGGCGGGTATGACACGGGGTATGACAGGTATGAAAACGTGTGTGAACAAAATCCTAACTGTGGGGTCTGGATAGTGATTGATCATCATTGATCCTAGATTAGGTCACCAACCTAATCCAAATGTCACTATATAAGGAAATACATAAGGATCACCCAAAGGAGAAGTTATCAAGCCGTATTTCTAGAAGCCCTTCCATTCGCAACTCGTTATTTAATGAGTCTTGAGCCAAGCCATAGCATCGTCATCAACACCACGCAGTTTGCCAAGCACGTGCGTTTCGGGTCCTCCAACGAATTCCAACAAGCAACAAGAAGGACATAGAAGGACAGTACTCCACATTGCATACTGAAAGCCAAAGCTTTTGAGGATGTCACCAAGAGATACTTAAGAGTGTTTTCCAGGGTTGGCGCAACGAGGAACGGGTCAAAGGACCGAAAGCCAGAATCCCAGAAGTTGGTCCGCCTTCTTCTGCCTGGAGCAGCTGCACGGGTTATGCAGCACCCTCCGAACCCTCCAGGCTCAAGCAATTCCAGAAAAATCTGGCTTGTCTCATGTTGTCTCACTATGCTGACATTGGCTTTCTGGTGAAGATTGAACACACCTGCGCCACGCGACACCTGCGCCTTTGCATTCCAATCTCATGCTCATTCTGTGACATGTTTCATATAGTCTGAGATTAGATGATCAAAGCATCATCATTCTTCATCATCTCAGAGTCTTCCTCAGTCAGTTCCTTGTCAAAATAGATTTCCAGGAGTAGCTCCAGGGCAGTCTCTGTGCTTGAAACCACTTGGCCACACCGCTGGAGGTATTCCCCAAAAAAATGCCCACTGTGAAGAGATTTGTCCTGCAACTGTTGACACTTGATTGAAATCCTGCACCGTCACCAAGGCCAAAACAGCCTGGCAGTGGTGGGGAAAAAAAAAGAAAGCTGCCACTGCCCACTACCTGTCCCACCTACCCGTGGGCGGTTCCGACCGACGTTCCACTTCACGTCTTTCACTGGACCCAAATTTGAGCCGTCTGGTCCATGCGGTGGAAACGGGTGAAACGGGTGCCGGTCAGTCATGTCCTGCACCAGGACCATCTGTCTCATTTGCTTCGGGCCAGACTGAAGTCTGTATAGAGATACCAAGCTATCAGAGGAAAATACGAACAACAAATTGTGTTTTTTCTTCCAACATCTTCTGGTGCAGGGGGTCCCTGACCACCAGCACCGGAAAGGGCAAGCTCAGGCCGCTCAGGCCTCCACGCGGAAAGGGATCTCAAGGGGAGGTAAAGCTTCCCAAATGCTGCCCTCCAGTTTGGTAGCATCTTCCAACCTGAAAGGATCGTCGAAGCATGTCGAAGCTGAAACGCTGAATGTTTGGGCTTTCCAGGATCTTCAACACAACGAGGGAAGACTCTACAATGAGGAAGACTGGCACCCCCAGCAAAGACTTGTGAACATACGTCGGACGTGCCCAATTTGGGGGCCTTATCGCATTGAAACCTGATCATGTCTCAAAACACCAATGGATCTCCCTCCAACGGCCGCTTTTATGGGTGCTTACGCGCGCCTGAGCCAATAAACTGCTGGTAGCAAATGCACCGGCAGAAGCCAATCCTCGTTGCCTGCCACGAAGAAGTAGGGTCGGAGGCAAGGTGCCCGAATTTGGACCAGTGTTATAGGGTCTATGCTGGGTTGACGATTGCTTTCCCATAGTGCGTGGTTTGAATTTTGGCAGCTCCTCTGGTTTCCAAACCGACCTCCATTCAGTTGCAGAAATACGTAGAAGAATGAGAAACATGAGAAAAAACAAGTCTAATTGCTACCCCGGTCCCCTGTTCTGAAAAAGAAACGAGCTTTTAACCGGGACTCTTCCTGGCGTCGTCAGCCACCCCCTGGTGCAATCGGTCCTTTCGGCACCAGTCCAAGGCTCCGTCCCCCGTCCTCCCAGCACGGCGGAGCCGTTGGGACCAATAGCGCCACTGAGGGACTCGTGCCCGGTGAAGGGCGGAACCACTTCCTGCGGCTACGGGGCCACGGTGGGTGGAGGTATGAGTGACACATCGGAAAACGGCCAAGAGTGAAGTGCTTGAGAGAGGGAAAGAGCGAGTCTGGGAACGGCGAGTCGCACATGATGCATCTGACTGCTTCTTTTGGAGGGTTTGGAGGGTGTTCAATCTTTGGATGGTGTTTAGAAGGAGGAGTATCCATGGGTGTTACCTGTGCTGCTGGTCTTCAACCTTGGACCTTACGACCCTGGACCTTACAGCTCATGGTGCTGTCGGGTGGCTAGGGTAGCAACAAGGGGTTGTTTTCACATGTGTTCATTCAAGAGTGGCAAGTAGGCCTGAGTGCTTTGTTTCATCACTTCACGAAACATCAACTAACCAGCCAAGACCTGATTGAGAAACTTCAGTAACTCAATCAAACAAAAACTCAATCCAGTGGCTTGTGTCCCTCGCAACAGCATTGCTTCCAAAAAGAAACGAAACAGGTAGCATTCAAAGCGCAAGCACATACGTAGCAAGTCTGTGGCTGCTGCAAAAGGTCTTCACAAAACAACAATTGCAGTATTATATAGACACATCAAACTCTGCCAGATAGTAAAGGAAATGCTCCCCTAAGCCCTATCTAGGCCCTATGTGGCGTGGGCAGCATTATGCGGCTACACAGCTTCTTCTCCGCTGGACACGGCATCCCTTCATATCCCAAACACTCCACGGGACTGTCATATTTACATACATTGGGGTGGTTTCAGGGGTCAATGTAGGCATATATACCATGATGTGTATTTTCGTAGGGAGACTTGAAACGAATGGGTTTTGGCTGCTTTTGGTCTATGTTCCCCCCTTCCAGGGGGTCAAACTGGGAGGTCTCCCTGTTTCAATACACACCCATATCTCTGCATTGGATCGCTATGCTTCCACAAAATGTCGAACGCTGCTGAAGAGCCAGCTGGGTGTTAATGTTTTTGTCCAGCTCTACCCAACTTGACATCTGCAGGAATCTACACTCTACACTCCCTGGAACTCACATGGTTACATGGATGGCCTGGCCCCGAAAGGATGGCCATGTTCCATCCACTACAAACAGGTGGTGCCATCCACGTAACCATGTGAGTTCCAGGGAGAGTCATTTCACGACCCACCTCATCCGGCATCGGCGAAGCTTTGCCCCCCTGACCGGCACAGGTCGAACGGTCGGACCGCCTCGGACCCGACACACGGACGGTCCGTGTCGACTCGATGTGTTCGTTCGGGGAAGAGGTGACTCGTCGTCGCTGCTGACTGTGTGACATCGCCCCTTTAGGCCCTATACCTACCAGTGGCGCTCCGAATCGAAACGATTTTCCCAGACAGGCTCCATCTGCAAAGTCCAGGCGTCTGTCGCTTTCTTTGGGCGGCCCCCACACAGAAAACAACTCGGAATGAGGGACTCTACTCCTCCGATTCACGAATTCGCTCCAAGCATCTAAGTCATTGTGCCTTCGTCATTGTTGGGTAGAAACTACTACGGACCCATCTGTGATTCTTTGGTGATTACTTGTTCTTGTGCTTGTGGGCTTGGGACTTCTCGTGTTCCCGGACCCTTCAATTCCAGCACCATCGGACTGGGGCGGTCCGTTGAGGTGTTGGACTGAGCCATCTAACTTCGCCTCTACTTTACTCGCGAAGTACGAAGCACGACACAGGACATCCCGTTTCGCGTACGAGATCACTGAGAGATCTGGCTTGCCCTATCTGGCACTGAGTGCGCAAACTGAACCGACCGCAGGCAAAACCCACATGAACTTGTTAACCTTGACATACCCTGACTCCTTGCAGAGTGAACTGCGCTTTTGGCACTATGCTTGGAGAATCTTGTTAACCTTGACATACCCTGACTCCTTGCAGAGTGAACTGCGCTTTTGGCACTATGCTTGGAGAATGGATTTGACCTTGACGATGAAACACACTCTTGCTCATTCACTTGCAACTTGTGCAGCATGGGCAGATCATAAACCTTGAAGAACTCTCCATCTGGACTTCATGAAGATCTCAAAACGCCCGCCCGGTTCGACCGCCGGTGCCTTCTTTCCGCCCGAATTGGACTTCTGTGGAGGCGCATCGGCCTCATCCAAAGGATCGGTGTACCTGCGTCGACTGGTCGGTCGGTCACCGACCATGTGCTGTGCAGCCATCCGATCGGTGTATCATCATCCAGACACGACCTGTCTGGGACTGCCAGGACGGACTGCCGATCAAGCCAGAACCCCCAAACCACACCACCCCTGGCCTGATCTGCAACTATGGCAGTCCCATTAGTCCTGTCTGGGTAATATAGACAGACATAAACCTTTATTATATATTTTCTGACGAATTCTGAAGCGTACCTCCGTTATTGATCACCAACAATATCACACTTGTTCCCCCTCCCTCACCCATTTCGGTTCCAATCACACCCCTTTGGCCCGCCCCTTCACCACCGCGGGAAAGCAGCCGGCCCCCACGTGGGGCTCCCCACGTCGGCCGGGCATCGCCGAAGTTCACCGGTCTGACCGAGTGTCGGCGCGAGTGGCGAGTGTCGCCGGGAACACCGGAACGAGCTTCATCCCGTATACGTAGGGTGTCTAAAATGGTCTAAATATAAGGCGTCTTCTCAGAGGGGTGTTCCACTTCATACATCTTAATTTTAATATGGTGTTCTGATTTCATGTTATGTCCGATTGATGGACGGGAGGTTGATGATGGTTTGCATGACTTTGTGCCAGGCTCCCGCAGCCCTCCCATCGAGTAGTACTAAACTATATTCCCACTGCCTCAAAAGGGCTCTGTTCATCTCTGTTCTAAGCTCCTCTTAGATCTGAACGAGGAACTGCCAAGGACTGGAACGTAGCCTAGCATAGCCTGCAGGCTCGAACTCTCATTTGTATAGTTATGATGTCACATTATATAGTCATATATATATATATAGATTATCATGAATCATGACCTGCTATAATAGCAACCTGCCATCCAAAGCACCGGCTGGACTCGCTGCAACACACGAACCCGGCGACTTCGCGACGGACGCCGCCTGCGGAGCACTTCGCCCTCAGCGGTCTTCCGCTCCTGGCGGAGTGTGGCCAGTCGCAGCGCCCTATACGAGTGTCATGAGGTCGCATAACTTGAAAAGCCAAAAAGCCATAACTTGAATAGCCCTATACGAGTGTCCGATTGATGGAAGTCGTCATGTTTTCGGTTTGGTGGCGTATTCCGGTTTTATGGTGTTGGACCACTTTTTTGCCTGCTTGCTGAGTTATTCTCATGTATGACAATGCTAGAAATGATGAGTCAGGGGGATGTCAGGGGGTCTCTTCCAAATGGGACATGGGGGACCCCCTTTTGCTCAGGTGAGCAAAGTCAGTCTTGTAAATACTGCCTGAATGATACTTTCAAATCCTTTCCTTTTTGATGACAAGTGCAGTCTTCAAGCAGAACACCTTTCGGCTACACACGGTTTTAAAGCCATTCCAAGTGCCCCAGCCAGCGCCATGCGCCACTTGCGCAGCGCCAACAGGCGCGCCATGCGCCACTTGCGCTCCATCTCTACCGCGCACCCGGCCCCTGCCGCGAAGCGGCGCGTCTCTCGCGTCTCGCGTCTCACCGCCTTGTACATGGTCACCCGGAAGCACCGGCCGACCTCTTCCGTCACCGGAGCCTCTCGCGCCGTCACCGGAGCCGCTTCCGAACGGGTTCACGGCGGAGGCACCGATGCGAGTCGCGAGGGTGACGGCGGAAGCGAGGTGCGGTGGCACGAAGCAGGGGATTGACGGGATCCCAGACACTCCATGTATGGTATATTTACCTACATTGGGGTGCTTTGGGGGGTCAATGTAGGCATATATGGCAGTATACATGGAGTGTCTGGGGGATATCCTGGAGGAGGGAAACGACGAAACCCTGAAATCCAAGGGGTGGAAGTGGAATGAGTGTGGTGAACTCACCAGCTGTGAGTTCACTCTTCAGAGTTCCTTGGAATTTCCGGAAAGTTGCGGTTGCCATGCCGTCTCCTTTCATGATGATTTCAGGGAGTGTAGCAATGATGGGGAGACCGAACGATTTCAGAAGCCATTAACACAGAGCACTGCAGGTTAATTCAGACTGTTGTGCCCTGCCCATGGAAAGAAAACCATTGACTGACTGACAGACCGGTTGGGGTACCACCTTTCAGCCCTAAATGCCCGAGTTTTCCATATCGAGCGGACGGTCGCCTCCCTTCGTTGGGTTTCGTCCCCGCCTGGGTGGCATCCAGGAGTCTGACCCTGGTCTCTGGCAAGACCTCGCCAAATGTGGCGGAGAACAACCACCGTTGACGTGGGTCTGCGTCCGACTGCTCCTAGGACGTAGCGATGCCCGGGTTCCTAGTAGCGATGCCAGGAGCTAGTATCTGAACGAAGGTGAAGACGGCACAGAAGTGAAGGGACTGGGTGAGGAAGAACCGTCGCGACTTGTCTCGACGTCCACTGGAGGACAGTGACCCAAAGGACTGTCAACAAATTGGTGGCTCCATGAGTGGCAGCCGCCTCGTCACGGAAGTTGGAAGGTGGTTCCATGTTTTCGAAAGAAAGAAAGAAAGAAAGAAAGTAGAACCTCAGGAAAACGGTTCAAGGAACCTCCAACCAGCCCCCATTCTTCCAACCACCTGCAAAATTAGCAAATAAACATCTTATTTTGTTTGGGTAAAATAAGCAAGTCGACCTACCTTTTGTATACCCGGAAAATAGAAAGGAACAAAAGACACCTCCATCTCCCCCAAGCAATTCGCTTGTCCCAGAACCCTCCGCTGTTGTCGCAAGAGGCAACTCCTGCAAACGCCCGTCCCGTCCCGTCCGCCCTCGCCTGGCCCTTGGTGCCCTTCAGCTCCGGCCCTTGACCGCTGGTGTCGACGGGTGGAGGTGCCTCGAGGAGGACCGAAGACCGGTGCATTGCGCGGTCGGTCGGTGGAACCGTTTTCACCTCGGCTCTTCGGGGGGAGGGGGGACGTGGTGTTGTGGCATGTTTTGGGGCGTGGTTTCGTGTGGTTTCGTTCCAGATCCGTCCAGCTTCTTGACACCTTGAGGATGCTTCGTGAAGCGGCCCTTTCTCAAACGCCAACGGTAGACAGCATCGCTAATCCCGAAGATTGACCCAAAGCGGAGAAGCGGAGTACTGTAGTACTGTAGTATGTGAGCTGAAGTTCTTTTTGCGTGTATACCACATCATGGACCTCTCCTGGAAGATCATGGGCCATCCACGTGGATGGCATGGAACCACGAAGCGATGTGGGGTGACCACGCAATCTGAAGACCAGGTGGGGGACAACTCACTCCGAAACCATGGAGGATTCCATGGAGTGTACCACATCCTGGCCTTTTTCCCTTTGTCCTTCGGGTTGGCATTCAGCTGAGTCGCCGCCTGCAGAGATGAGAGTGAACGGTTCGAACGGTGAACTAACGGTTCAAACGAAGAGTGCCTGGAGGACTGGTTGAAAGATGCAGGAGGGGATTAGAAAGGGAACTATTCCGTTACAGTGCATGTATAACCCATACACTCAATGGGACACCCCTCAAACCATCCCGATTGCCGGTATATATGGCAGTCCCATGGAGCGTTTGGGTAATACCTAGACTTGTTGAAGGGAGATCTTCTTCAGAAATCCGAGAAAAAACAATGCAAAAGTCATGAACAAAAAAGACAGTCCCCTGCAATCCCCTCGGAGATGGGCCAGGGGCTCCGACATATATGTGGATGGATGTTTTAGGCCAACTGATGGGTTGATTCATCCAGATTGGGTTGATTGGCTTGGAAGTTTCAACTTCACTGATTACTGAAAGGTTGATAATCAAAAGGTGAATGCCGCAAGAAAATCATTCATCAAACACACACACACCCACATGAACCCAGCTACTCAGTTCCCATTTGTCCAGAAGGGATGTTGCGCCAGGTCTCAGGTCTTGGTGTGCAGCCGAACACCGGCAACGAGTCCCCCTTTTCCTCGTCTCCCGAGACCCGAGATGAGAGACCCAAACACACCTATTCCTTGAGCTCTCTGCAAGCAAGGAAGACTTCCCCCGTAACATCCCCAGCTGAAACTTCTTGCAAAGCTCCTCCCAGAGACAACGGTCCAAGCAACCAGCCCAAAAATGCCACACCTCTCGCGTTCGGCGTATCTTCACCGCACCTCGTGTCGCTCGCACTCGTGTCTGTCAACGTGTCCTTCGCTCGTGGTTTTGTGGCGCAGCGATCGCATCGTGTCTTCGCCTCCTCTTTCAAGAGCTCACCCACCGCGGTATAGGACTCCTTCGACCGAACGGACCGAGTCATCTTCGACCGAACACCGTTTCCCGCGCGGCTCGGTGTCACAACACCATGCGCTCGGACGTCGCTGGGACGTGGGTCGTCCAAGGTGTTTCAATTCGGAAGTGGTTTCAATGTTCAATGCTATTGTGAATCCCAAAGAGAACCCACACGTTGATCCCGTGGCTCGCTCGACCAAACGTTGGATCCATGTGGATCATGTGTCCGTCTCCCAGTCCATGCAGCGCGAGCGCCGGCGCGAACGCACGACGTCTGCACGGTGGGTGATCCAGGGTTGACCCAGGAGGGCTCCTCCATCTGCATCCGGCACATGCCGTTGATGTTTGGGAACATTCAAAAGGTATGGAGTGCCCTATATGTCATGCATGAGAGAGTGTGTCATATATAAACTATACCGTACATTATGTTTTAAGTGTCACATCTACAATTAGTATATATATATATATATACATGAATACATATCTCTACTAAGTAAGAAATTAACCCGAGGAAATGTGGAAACTGCTCCTCGCTGTCTGGCGGGCACAGATCCCAGGTGGCCGCCGGGCGCTCCGGCTGATCCTGGCGGCCAAATGGAAGAGACCGTTGTTGGTGGATGTTTACATTGTGAGTCTGTTGTTTCCTTTTGATTTGGGGATGTGAACCAATCACCTACTCAAGCTTGGTCCAAAGATTCCATGTTGATTGAAGGCAGAATGCCACACTGCTACACCCCTTTGAGATGGAGAATCCTGCTACGCGATTTTCTTCCATCAGGAGCACTCCTGTCCTGACCGTCCATATTTGGTCAGTCGAACTCCCAACCAGTGCTTCACTCCACCTCAAACAACGGATTTCAGCGGATCCAGAGCCCAAGCCTTTTCACCTCGAGGAGATTGAAACCAAGGTCACATCGGTCACATCAGTTTTCAGATGTTCAGGCGAATAAACTCCAGCTCGAGACTTCTCGCAGGCAAAGCTGTGCATCAAGTGTCAAGTTCCATGGTGAGCTCCGGAAAATCGGGCTTTGTCTGGTGTCTGCAGGTTTTGTCTTAGATTCCGTTATTTTTGTTGACGGATGTCACATGTTTCAGATCCTTTTCTTGTCATGGACGGAATCATGTCTCCAGATCGACAGAATGAAGCCCCAGTCCCTTAAGCAAGCCCCAGTCCCTTAAGCAAGCCCCAGTCCCTTAAGCAAGCCCCAGTCCCTTAAGCAAGCCCCAGTCCCTTAAGCAAACCCCAGTCCCTTAAGCAAGCCCCAGTCCCTTAAGCAAGCCCCAGCCCCTTAAGGAAGCCCCAGTCCCTTAAGCAAGCCCCAGTCCCTTAAAACACAGATTTAAAGAAACACTATAAAAATATAAATAAATCAAAATACAAAAAACTATATAAATAGATAAATATATAAAGAGATAAATATATAAATATATAAATATATACATCAACATATAAGCGTAAAAAATATATACATAAATATAGACATAGAAAATATAAACATAAAAAATATCAACATAAATATAGATAAAAATATTAATGTATTTTATACCTAAATATTTATAACCCAAATTTGTATAACAATAAATAACCAACTTCAAGAAAAAACAAAAGGCTCAACTAACAAAATGTCAACAAAACAACACACTTGGTTAAAAAAAATAGAATTCAAGATCTTCAATATCTACAACAAAAATATCACATCATATACCTTGCAACCCTGAAAGTAATGTGATCCTTATGGAACATCATCAGGCAAAGCAAGGCAAGGTAGCCCAAGCTAAAACAAGGCCAAGAGCAAGTTGGGCAAGATTAGTAAAACCCAATAGGCAAGCAACCAACCACCACACTTCATGAACACACCACCCAAACCAATCAAAGGAAAACAGATGAGAACACAGGGGAGCAGGGGAGAACAGAGGAGAATGGAGAAGAACAGAGGAGGACAGGAAAACAACAGGATAACAGGAGGACAGAGGAGAACAGATAGGAAAAGAGGAAGCAAAAGAAGAACAGAAAAGAACAGGAGAACAGAGTAGAACAGAAGAGAACAGAGGAGAACAGGAGAGGCAGAGGAGAACAGAGGATGACAGAGAAGAATGGAAAAGAACAGATGAAAACATGAAGAACAAAGGAAAACAGAGGAGAACAGACAGCAGAACAAAGGAGAGCAGAGGAAAACAGATGAGACCAGAGAGAACAGAGGAGAGGAGAACAGAGGAGACGAGAGAGAACAGAGAACAAGAGAGAACAGATGTTCTCCTCTGTTCTTCTTTGACAGGGCAAAGAGAGGGGAACAGAGGAGGACAGAGGGAGCAAAGGGAAAGGGAAAGAACAGAAGAGAAGGACAGAGGAGGAGGAAAAAGAAGACAGAAAGGAACAGAGGAAAACAGAGAAGGACACAAGAGAACAGAGGAGAACAAAGCAGGACAGATGAGGACAGAGGAGAATGGAGAACAGAAAAGAACAAAGGGGAACAGACAACAGAGGAGAACAGATGAGAACAAATGAGAATGGAGGTGAACAGAGGAGAGCAGGAACAAATGAGAACAGGAAAACAGAAGAACAGATGAGAACAGAGAAAAAAGAGGGAGGCAAAAGAGGAACAGAGAAGAACAGAGGAAGGAGAGAGGATAACATGAAGAAAAAAGGACAGGGGAGAACAGAGGAGAGCAGAGAACAGAGAAGAACAAAGGAGGACAAGAGGAGAGAAGAACAGAGAAGAACAGAAGAGAACAGTGTTGTGTCCTTTAAGTGTGTGGGAATGGTTGGGCGCTGTTCTTCAAGTGTGGTGGTGTGAATGCTTTGATCAATTTGGGTGACTCTGTTTTTTCTTTTCTCCTCTGTTCTTCTTCTGTTTTCATGTCCTCCTCTGTTCCTCTGTTATCTTTTGTTTTTTCTCTGCCCCCCCAACCAACCAACCAACCACACTTGAGGAAGACAGCTCCCAATCAATCACCAAAACAAAGCACCTGCAACCAGAAGAACACAGCACCCACCAATATTCACACATGAAGGGCACAACACCCACCAATCACCACACTTGAGTAACACAGCACCCACCAATCACCACATTGAAAAGAAAAAGAACAGAGCAAAAGAAAAGATGAAAAACAAATGAAAACAGAGAAGAAGGAGAACAGAGGACAGAGAAGAACAGAGACACAGAGAAGAACAGATCTGACTGCTGTCTTCTCTTCTGCCCAGCAGTACCCAACAGAGTCCACATCACTGTTGCTTCTTGAAGAACACAGCACAAGCCCAAAACCCTGAAAGGCCCAAAGCCCCTAAAAGGTCCAAAGTCCAAATCCTGAAGGTCCAAAGTCCAAATCCAACCCTGAAAGGTCCAAGCCCTGAAGGCCCAAATCCTGAAAGGTCCAACAGGTCTAGACCAAATCCTGAAAGGTCCATCCAACCAATCACCCCTAACTCAGGGTTTAGGGTTTAGGGTTCAGTGGGTTTCAGGGTTCAGAGAAAGGCGTCGCCACGGGTAACATCCCACCCGCCCACGGTTCCCTTTTCATTGCAGATATACACCTTTTTTAATCACGCGTCGATTAGCGTCACTTTCTCTGCTGCGAAGCCCGTGTAAAACACGTTGTCCGCAGACAAGATGGACAGCAAACCGCGCAAAGCGGAATGCTCCTGCCCAAGCCAGTCATAGAATTCTTTGGCCGCGTCGCGCACCTGTGCTTCAGATGCCGTCGACCCCCCGGCTTCCACCCGTCTTTTCTTCAAAGAGCTCATGCTTTCTTTTGCGGTGCTCTGTCCCTGGGAGCCTTTGCCAAAGTTGAGAATGCGGCAAGATACGGTTGGCTTCCGCCATGGCCTTCGCATACAACTCCTCCCGAAGTACAGCCTTGACGTTGTCGCTCTTCAGTTTTTCGATGGCCATCTGCACGGCCGCTGCCGTCATGGAGACACCGGCCCCAACATGCCAAGCATCGCCATCGATGCTGGCGCACAGATGACTGTGGTATGCGGCCTTGCGGTTTCCAGCAGCCGTCGCCTTCCAAAGCTTCTTTAAAGGCATGGAGCCTAAAACCGAAGCCCCATAAGGCTCTAAAAGTTGCGATGCCACCGCATCATAGCCATAAAGTTTGGTGCGGCGGCCGTGTCAACTAGCGTCATTCCCCACCAGCCCCGCGCCCGGTTTTTTTTTCACATCCTTGGTCCTGGCAGGCTTTTGCGCGAATGCAAGGCCAGTTTGTGGTACGGGTAGCCGGCCGTGGGGCCCACCCCAGGATTTCCCGCGAACCGGGCCGATCGCCATTGAAATTGTATTAAAATTTAGACAAAATCCGGCGCCCGTCCAAAATCGGGATTCGAACGGCAAGCCTGTGCTACGAGAGGGCCTTTAAAGGCAATCCTGTGCTACGAGAGGGTTTTGAAAGGCAATCCTGTGCTACGAGAGGGCCTTTGTGCTACGAGAGGGCCTTCAAAGGCAATCCTGTGCTACGAGAGGGCCTTTAAAGGCAATCCTGTGCTACGAGGGCGCTTTTAAAGGCAACCCTGTGCTACGAGAGGGCCTTTAAAGGCAATCCTGTGCTACGAGAGGACTGTTAAAGGCCATCCTGCGCTACGAGAAGGCCTTTAAAGGCAATCCTGTGCTACGAGAGTGCTGTTAAAGGCAATCCTGTGCTACGAGGACCCTAAGCCCATTAAAGTTTAAAATATACATTTGATATATAGATAAACCCCTCAAGTGCCCCCTCTGCTATTTCAGCCTCAGCCTCGCCTGGTCTCACTGCTGGTTCCGCCTGCTCAGGTCTCACTGCTGGCTCTGAACTGAAAAACTCGGTTGCCTTCTCATTGTCCTTTTTATCCTTGTAAAGGTGAGTAATCTTCACTGCTTCTCCTCGCAACACCTGATCACCTTCTCTATACTTGTTGACAATGGAGCGCCATACTGGCACGTTGTCATCATCAAAATCAAGCTCCATATCATCTGCCAGCAAGTTTGAGATGTTTTGAGCTGCCTGTTCTTCTTCTTCCTCACGTTCTCTGGCACGCTCCTCATTCTTCTGGATCTTGTAGACACCCTTCAGGATGTTTTGTAGTACCTTTAAGTTCAGCTTCGATGATGGCTCATACGTCCCTGAACTTACAGGTTCAACTACAACACGAGAGCAAGAAATCGCCTCCAAAGCCTGCTCAGGTCTCACTGCTGGTTCAGCCTGCTCAGCCTCCTCCTCAGCTGGCTCAGCCAGCTCAGCCTCCTCCTCAGCTGGCGCAGCCTCTTTGGGAGGCTCCTTTTTCAAAAACCTCAAAAACTTCGATGGCACAGCTGGCTTCGTCTGTTTGGTCTCCTTTTTCTCTTTCTCTTTCCTTTTCTCCTTTTTCTCTTTTTCTTTTCCCTTTTGGGAGCCATCTTCTCCTTTTTGGGAGCCATGTCGCACCCTGTGGCACCCTGTGAACCTGAAACAGCAAAAGGGAAGCGGGAAGAGAGAAGAGAAGAGAAATGCATGCATTCATTCATTCATTCACTCTTTACTTTATTTTACTTTGCTTTTCTTTTCTCGTATTTTTCATTTCTTTTCTTTGCTTTGCTTTTCTTTTCTTGTCATTTCTTTTCTGTGTTGTTGCTC